TATATTACTTTTACAACTGTATTGGTGATCAATTGTCTATAAGTTGAGCAAGCATTCATTTATTACATCTAATATATAATCCAGACAAACATCCTTATTATGATACGTTATCTATTGAGTCACATATAAATGCAAAGCAAAATCCAATGTAAGCTAATAGTGAATGACATCATCTTCGGGTTTATCACCATAAATGATGTCATGTATTGAGTGGTCAATTAGTTTTGTTAATATTCATACATTCATACAGAATATGATTATTTTATTGATTGTAATTTTAAGGATTTAAAATGTTTGTTTCATTTGTTTAAGTTTAGTTTAAATTGTTTAACTTGTTGAGAAAATGAAGGGCATTATTATGGCCACAATATGATACTCAAATGGACCAACTTAGGTGACCAAAGATGTCTCAATGGTTAGATGATAAACTAGTGGTTCCCATATTGACAGTAACCTCTGATGTAGCCAATCCTAAGACAAAAGCCCTTTCATTGACTCCTAAGCCGAAAAAGTCGGCCAAAACTGCGGCCAAGAGTTCGGCCAAAAAGGGGTCCAAAGCGAAGGCCACCACAAAGAGGGCGACCAAAGCCAAGCCCTCCACCACTGCCGCCAACGCCCAGACCAACTCCGCCGATGAGATCGGGAGCGCCCTGAACCCCACCCCCACCACAAACACCTCCCCATCCAAGAGAAGTCGCTCGAAGTCTCCGGCGAAGAAGACGGCCCCGAAGAAGGCATCCAAAGGCAGCCCTAAGAAGAAGGGCTCGACTGCAGCCAAAAAAGGCGCCAAAAAGAGCGCCAAAACTGGTTCTCCGTCTCAAAGATCGCGCTCTTCGTCGCCAAAGAAGACGGACGCGACGACTGACCAGAATGGAGAGGCAGTGGCCGCGAGTGGGCCGTCGGCAGCGCCGGCCAGCCCTAAGAAGTCACCGAAGAAGGCGGTGAAGAAAGCGACCAAAACTGGCGCTAAGAAGAGCGCGAAGTCTCCCAAATCGAAGGCCGCGAAGAAGTCGTCGCCTAAGAAGAAGGCCGCGTCTCCGCCCAAACAGGCGGCCAGTGGTGCGGGCGCTGAAGCGAGCGCTGGCTCTCCCGCCAAACCGGTGTCACCCAAGAAGTCTCCGGCAAAGAAGAAGGCGGCGCTCAAGAAGAAGGCCAGCCCTAAGCGCAAGACCCCAAAGAAGGGCGGCGCCAAGAAAGCCACCAAAAAGGCCGCATAAATACTATTCATACGATTATTACGCGAAAGTACTATTCATAACAATATTATTATTTTTTTTTGTTTTAACTATATTTTAGTCGAAATGCAAACAAAATTATTCAAAATATATCCAATACTTCATGAGTACATGATTTGATCATAACTTTCGCCCAACATTTCATTCATTTTAATGTGTTTTTCGTTCATTCTATGTATGCATATAAACACAACTATTAAATACACGCTTTTAATGGTTTGGTTTCTTAACTCAATTCATTCATTACTTTGAAATACTATGGAATCTGAAGACATAACCTCTATTCACACCATTTTATTATTAATTTTATGATAACCTCATTACAGATACTGATATATCAATGATTTCTTGAATCCAATTAAATGTTTAATAAAATGATTTCATTTCTAATAAGTCTGTTGTTCGTAATTGTTTGAAAATGTATTGCTTTTTATGACATATTAATGAACAATTGATTTGTTAAGAAATTTAGTGTACTTTTTATATCATAGAAAACTTTGTCTAAATTTTTAAATCATTAATTTGCAATACATTTATTATTATACCCAATATTTATATATAATTCTGATTCATTTAATCGACAATAAAATTGTATTTTAATAATTTTTCTTTTTTGTATGTCTTTCCGTATATGATATCATCTAATCATTTGAATTAAAGTGTGAAACCTATGAAATAAAGTGCACACAAATTAGTAGTTTGTCTTTAAATACAAGTAGTTTACAGTACTATTAAACTAGATTTTGTTAGCAAATCAAATCACTACTGTATTGTAATTGTAATGAGGAATGTGTCCATATATACTGTACAGTGTAATACAGTATATAAGTTGTATTCTTACTAAATATATTAAAATATAAATTTAATGAATCATAGTTTTATTGAGACTTGTTAGTTTTTGGATGAAAACTAACTCAAGATATCGTAAATAGCTATTTATTGAACTCAAAATATATGATAAACATATTTAAGAGTATTTTATCCAATAGTCATGAGATTATAGAAACTTTGCGCCAAAAAATAGGATACATTAGACGAGTATTGTGTTGTACTCTAAACTCAAAATATCTCAAATGCTATATTCGTTAAAAACATCCATTCATTCACTGCTTGCCATACAATCCAATACAGCAATGCATACCTAACCCATACCTAACCCATACCCGCCTAAACTTTTGCAATTTCATTAAACAATAATTCATATACATAATTATATGAAAATCAACTTCAACAGTATATGCTATACATAAACGTATTTCAATTGTATTGTATGGTTAAAATTGAGTTCACAGGTATTGACAACAGGTAGGAAATTGTGAATTTCAAATGCATTGTCTGTTCAAATGTGCGCTAACTTTGGCGCTAAACAGCTATACATAGCATTTAGCAGATACCTGTATCATTTATATTGAGTTCACAGGTATTGACAACAGGTATGAAATTGTGAATTTCAAATGCATTGTCTGTTCAAATGTGCGCTAACTTTGGCGCTAAACAGCTATACATAGCATTTAGCAGATACCTGTATCATTTATTAAAATTCTAATATTTCATTGATACCCTGCCACATTTTTAGTGTCCAATATATACAATTAATTTGATAAATACTGTATTAACATAAAAAGAAGTCAAATAAATTTACTCAACTTATCACTATTAGTGCATACAGTATGATTTGTTAGCCAAAATATTTAACCAAGATACTGAATATTTGAGTTCAAATATAATTTAGCTATAAATAAATAGCTTGCATTACACCATTTGTACCAAATTTGTTATCACAGACAATAATATTAAATCATATCTTTGAAACTATTTGCTGAAAAACAACCCAATTATCAACAAATGCTTATTTAAAATGATTTTCTATGTTTTACGTCAATTGCATTTCTAGAGCCTTACACTATAGATAATAATTAAATATTAAAAATAACATTAATTAGTGTATTGTGAACAGAGACACGAGTTTATCGGAATAGTAACTAAACCTATGGCCGTATTTGTCATGAATTTGCTTAATATTTGGCCCATTAATGAGTCCAATATACCAATCAATTTTCATATAATAATATACTGCATGCATGTTGTCGTAGTCTAACCTTAAAGCAAATCATTTATCATTTATAAACTAAGTTTTACGAACTTTTTAAAAATGGACAACAAATATATAAAACAAAATTTATATATTGGATGTAATATGAGTGGATCGATGGGATCATAGGTATTGTGAGTGTAATGCAAACAATATTACAAGAAATAGCGACAATTCATGTCAAATTATGCAGGTATTTGGTATTAGGCCTAAAATAGTGTATTTGTTGAGCATTTGGTCGAGTCTCTGATTATCGATGAGTTTGTTATCTTCATTCAAGGTTTGAAGTAATCATATATTTATAAATTGAAAATCTTTGCTATTATAGTATTTGTTGCCAAAACGCATCCAATGCTACCTTTCATGTCGTTATATTCAACCCAAAGCCAGTATTTATGAGTTTTGTGTCAAATGAGTCAATATATTATACAATAGCAGTGATGGCATTGGGAAAGGGAGGTCAGCGCACCCACAATCACACAACCCTTTCACACATTTGCCACCATTTGTTCAAATAGTGATCAATTTGAAAGAATTTATTGAAAATACAAGCAATTGTCTCAATTAATCACAACATGCATACATGCAGTACATGGATGAGTTGTTGTTTATATATTGGTCGATTACAATTATGTCATATGCCCATAACTTTGAGAGTACTTTGGTAGTGACTATTGTAGTCAGTATACCGGTTGTGATGACTGTGACGTAATGTCCCGTTTGTGTATCTGATACAGTGTATGTCATACACTGTATTATAGCATAGCATAGGAACAACACATACTCTCACACCTCACGTACAGCTCACTGCACATGAGGTACAAACACGAGCACCCAATACACTGCAGTATTAGGTATACTATGGCCAACACATTGACAATAGTTTACCATTACTACCGTTCCTATGACTATGTGTTCAACAATAGCAATATCAGTAATATTGGTGACCACAGAGTGAACGGTCACTCTGGGATAGTCTCCAATGACAGTTATACCCTTGGTGATCAAATAGTAGATTGGTAACTCTGTAGAAACCAGTGGATTCAACCAGGTAAACTCATAGTATAACACCGGTATTATTACGGGAAGTAAAAGAGTTGTTCTTAAACAATTTAAACTAAACTTAAACAAATTAAACAAACATTTTAAATCCTTAAAATTACAATCAATAAAATAATCATATTCTGTATGAATATTAGCAAAACTAATTGACCACTCAATACATGACATCATTTATGGTGATAAACCCGAAGGTGATGTCATTCACTATTAGCTTACACTGGATTTTGCTTTGCATTTATATGTGACTCAATAGATAACGTATCATAATAAGGATGTTTGTATCGATTATATATTAGATGTAATAAATGAATGCTTGCTCAATTTATAGACAATTGATCACCAATACAGTTGTAAAAGTAATATATTGATTGATATAAAGCTTGAATGTGTGACAGATTGAGAGTGACATTCAATACTTCATGATGCGCTATGGGTTAGTGTAGTATTTGTTTGAGCACTGGCAATGGGTTTCAATTGAAACGAGCGGTCGGTGCTTATGTCGTGCTGCCATTGGATGCAGTGTTGCATTGATTGTAACATCGATGTGGTGCTGACGTAATAGCAGTGCAAATACAGCAGTGAAAGTGTGTGGGCATTGGTTGGGCCACCATATGAGTGGCGTGAGTGCGCGTGCGTGTTGTGGTGCTATGTTTGGTGAACGCATGCATTGTGCAGTGGTGTGAGTGGATGACTGTATGACTGTATGAGTGTATGCAGTACTGTATGACTAGCGTATGACTACAGTGTATGTATGTATCGATGCATTGGTGGTAAGTGTTTGTGTTGAAGACATAATTGTGCAGTGGTGTGAGTGGATGACTGTATGACTGTATGAGTGTATGCAGTACTGTATGACTAGCGTATGACTACAGTGTATGTATGTATCGATGCATTGGTGGTAAGTGTTTGTGTTGAAGACATAGACATAGACTATATCTCATCCATGTTGTTGTTGTCTCACTGACACCATCGCCTCCACTGCCCTCCACTGCCTCCACACTCACACCACGACCATCGCCACAATGGGTGTTCAGTGGATCCGCGACCAGTGATCGAGTGACGAGTGAGGACAGCCTGAAGGTGTGTGTATTGATCCCAATTGATCCCAAGTGACAAAACGCAACCCAAAGTGATCTCTTGTGTAAAATAGTTGTAAAATAAGAGTTAATATATAATTAATATAAATACAAATCAATCGCTTTTATTGTGATCTCTATTTGTGAACAAATTAAGAGATTTGACTACAAATACAATCAAAATGATGTCCATCGCAGCACTCATTCAGGTATGTGTCCATTGAGTCATTGTCACCACAATCCGAGCCATTGTCTCATATCATGTCGTGTCCACCATCTATAGGCAGCAGAATATCTGGATCGCAGGGAAAGAGGTTTGTATTGTGTATTGATTTCATTGATTTTCACATCATTTCTATTGATTTGTATGCATTTGATCCCAAATGATATGAATTAATGTTTAGGAAAATCTCGATTTTTATACATTTCCTAAACCCTGTCATTGATTTCGCGAGAATTTGCAGTTTTTGTCGATTTATCGTTTGTTTTGCAATTGATTTTGTAGTGAATTGGTGTTGTCGTTGAGGTTAGGTTAGCGTTGATTTAATGATAATTAGGAAATATATGTATTTATAAATGAGTGCAAAGACTGTAAGTGTTGGCAAAGAGTGGATGAATGGCTGCAAACACAGCAAACACTACAAAACAACCCAAATGTCAAACCTATGAAACAAATACTGAGTTTAACTGAACGACAGCTGATTTTGACGTTAGACTCAACGCTCAGCCATCACTGCGAGCACAGCCACCACTCCATAGCACTCCATAGCATAGCATAGCATACATACAATACCATACCATACAATACTCGCTCGTATACCTCACTATAGCCTGGCTTTGTATGCCATAACATAACCTCATTTGATAGTTAGACGCAAATACACTGTTATATGTTATATACTGTTAGCTCGCAATGGCCTCAATATATGGCAACTTTTGGCCAAATCTGCGATTTGATGTGAAAATAATGACAACAACTGATTGCAAATGCAAACAATGGTTAACGTGTTTTGATTGCAGAGGCAGAACATGGATACGCGTCGTCTCTTCCTCTTCCACATGATCTCAGTCTAAGTCTGAGTCGTCGGAGAACTAAATCCAAGAAATCTCAGGGAAACAGGTATTGCATCCATTCCTCCTCTGATCCTATGACCACCTCTTCAACCACTTTCTAAATGTGTCGGTTGTGTGGGTTAGCGCTCATCTGGAATCGTGTCACTCTCTGCCTGCCATCCCTGCCCTCCCTCTCCCTATGCCAACCCATCCCCATCTGACGCCATGAGTGTTCGCACAAATATCCCAAACAGTCTAACAGTGTATAAATCAAACAAAAGTACACCTGTTTTTCTAATTGTTTTCATAATTTTCATTTACACTCATATTCATAGACTTATCTGGAATTTGAACGCTAAAAAACTCAAACCAATCATTAGTCTTAAAAATTATGTTTTGTTTATGCGCTCATTCAAAGACTCATACTGTACTGCATATAACTTATGCATAACTTTGCACACTCTATGCACACATGCTTTCCATCCAACAAGTATTGTATTATAATTGTGATCTCACACACAATTTCATGCAATGCTCGATCCATGCCCACCACTACCACCACCATATCTACCACTGCCTATGGGTCACTCCTGCTCTCTCTCCCTCTCTCTCTCTCTCTCTCTCTCTCTCATATATATATATATATATATAACTGATTTTGAAATTAATGAGAATTTATATTATTTTTCAGAACAACACACAATGAGTTGGAAAAGAATAGGTAAGGCCTTAACACTTATATTATACACTACTGGATATGTTTAGTGCATATAATTATAATTATAACTGAACTAAACTCAAGGCAATTATACACACATTGACAGCACTTGCAATGTATTTCATATTCATATGCTTTAGTTATTGGTTTTACTTTACATACTCTCCATTCAAACCCATTGATTACTTCATAGATTTTTTGCTGTTTAATATCCTTCAACACAGTATTCCTGATTGAAAATCTAGTTTTTAAAGGCAATGCATAATCACTTGTGTACGTGTAGTATAGCATTGCCTTACTTGGCCTCTCCTGCCTCTGCCTCCCTCTCCCTCTACCTCTCCAACAAAAACAATAAGTTAAGAAAGTATAGTATAGTTGGATTGAGATTGTGGTAATCATTACACACCTGGCAATTAAGTTTCCTAATAGACTATCCATTGGTACCAATGAATATGTGTCATAAGAATATTGCAAATTCTCTCTGCATTATCCAATTCTTTCATTTTAATGCCATACAAATAGCACTCGTATTTCCAGTACTACAGTAATATCGACTCTATCCAATAGTTACTAATCCATTATTTGAGATGTTGAACACAGTTTTATGCTTACAATTAGAAAAGCAAATTTATCTCATTTTATGCTAATTCTATGAATTGGGAAGACATTTATGCGTTTGTCATAAACATGATGAGTCCAACCATCTGACAGACAATGACTCCAACAGTTAGACTTATATAATACTGTATTATTGGAAATCTAATCCCAGGCCATACCATGCATAACATGAACCTTCTAACAACTCTCATATATGGATTGAGATTTAGTTTTATGTAATTAATAATAAGCCAAATATGTACTGTATATGTTGTGCAATGTGTGTTTAACACAAGTATTCATAGTATTTATACAAATTATAATATTTACCCCAAATGTGTTAGTTTAATTGTGAGATTGTTTGGCAAATTCAATTAAACTATAATTACAAATTTATATACAAATGTTTTATGGTTTTATATGGCACTTAAAAGGTAGCTATTTATTAAACTCAGTTAGAAAATCTTTGTTTTGCAATTATTTGAGAGAATTAGACAGTAATACACAGTATTAGTCAAAATATGTACAAATATGAGTGCATTATAATGAGAATTGCGTTAATAGTTGATAACGTGTCATATATACACGTAGTATTAGACAACATGATTACAGTACTGCATAATACAGGGCCTGATAATAGTGTTGTGGATGCAATGGTAGGGTTGAGTCCTCATCCCTGGTATAATAGGTTTGGCAGCAATGAGTGCAAGTCTTGGGCCGAATGCCATCTGTAGCTTACATTTGAAGCCAACTCTGGAGTTCTTAGTCTTTGTTTGGCTGAAGACGTCACTCATACCTGACTTTCACTGATTGGAGATGAGGTTATGACTTGTGTTAGTCAACCCTCACATACCTGTATAACAGGCCATCGGATGGTTGTGTTCCTATTGCTGCGAATATAGCAATTTTGTTACAATAGTTTCTATCAATTATTTGTGTAAATTTCCTCAATTGCTTGCATTCACTCAATGCTAGACTATTATAACATTGAGAATAAACACCATTTCATTGCATACAATGATTACATGTATGGCTGAGGTGACGGTGCAACTCGTGTGTTGGCCACTAATGGCATCCCATGTTTCATAAAACTCGTCGATTTATATCCGCTTTCAACTCATTGCGATAATAGTATAGAGTTGTAGAGAAATGTGGCTTTTGTTGGCTCATTAATTGAGAAGTTGTCTTAACCTCATCTCTATGGATGTGCTTTGGGTCTGACAGTGTCTGACATGACATCACCAGAAGTTTTGATAGAAAAAACAAGGAAGAGTTGAGTGAAAGCGCGCACAACCATCTCATATGTGATACAGAGTTTGCTCCCTATCTACTCCTCTTTGCAACCATTTTTGTATTCATTTGAACCCGACTTCCACGCCATGCCTCGCATGCATTGGTTTGCAAACTCTTGCACTGTATTAAGCATAAGAAATACATATTTGTTTGATTTAAAAAGTTGTTGGCATTGTAGAGAAAATGGTCACATAATAGAGACAGTGAGTGTGCACTACATTGAGGCCATTCAGTAGAGTACAGAAAACAGGGCTACAAATTGGTTACAATTATTTATTGGATATGTGTTGCTATCAAACAAAAGGAAATGCCTGTCATTTCATAGCCTTATCGACGACTTGTAATTTTCCTCAATTAAACACATTTTTGAATTCATAAATAAAATGCTTTTCATAAACTTTGCTAATATAAGTGGTGAAAGCATTTTCTAGACACGATATTAGTATTGAATGTAAAGTAATTGTGTAATGATTGCAATATTGTTGGGAACTTTCATCTAAATTGAATTTGGAGTCCAATTCACTGCAGTTTTCCTATCAAAGAGTTCTCATAATTTTTGACTCAAAAAATGCTGTTTTTCTTGTGATAAATGCGATCTAAAAAAGCAGTGAACAGTATTTACCAGAAAATAATTTGACTTTCAGTGGGTGTGACTTGAAACGAGGGTATGTTGACCTCCCCTACTATTCCCCGCCACTGCCCCCATGCAGCTGAAAGTTGTCAGAACAGTGTATCTTAAATGATAGGCTCTTAAGGTAGAAATGTGTTACTCTTTGGGAACGATACTACTCTTCCATCACTATATTCGCTATATTATACATAACACTACAATGAACTCACTAACTATACACTAACTATACACTATTCACTATCGCCATCAGTTGTAACCATTACACGTCCATTGCCTGCATTGTCTGCTAAACTTACAATTAGTTGACTAACAATACGACATTAGTATGAGATTAATGCAATGATAGCTGAGATTTAAATATTGTTTGAATGCCTAACATTGAGTCTGTTTTGTATCCCATGTCTATAGACGGGCACATTTGCGCAATTGTCTCGAGAAACTGAAGGTATGGCATACAAGCTTAGAATCAGTGGTTGTAGTGTCTTATATAACACTGTTTTTGTATGTATGACAGGAAATGGTACCTCTGGGGCCGGAGTCGAGTCGACACACAACTCTTGGTCTCCTAACCAAAGCCAAGGGCTTCATTAAAGTGAGAGTTAATGCATTCATATATGAATGGACTGTAATTGATATTTACATTGAATTAACGTCAGAATCTGGAGGAAAAGGATCGCAAACACCAGACCACAAAAGAGCAGTTGCTTCGGGAGCAGAGGTATCTCCGCAGACGGTTAGATCAGTTACAAGAAATTGATTTCAAGGATTCAATGCACAAACGGAGAAGTATTAGTGAATGCAGTTCTGGCATGTCGTCCATTTCATCCAACTCTGAACCAGAGACCACTGAGACTACCGATGCGTACGAGACATCAGAAAGTGGTAAGAATATCAATGGATCCCTTTGTCTTTGTCACCAACTGTTGCCCACATTCAGTCCAGACCAGAGTCAGTGCCTCTAATCTATCGCATGAACGCAAGCCAAGCGACCAATACTTCTCTCTATTATTGAGATTCTGTTAATTTGTTTTACAAAACGCCGCGAAATGCTTATTATACTGTATTTTATATTTATTTATTGAACACTTATAGAATTTTAATATATTTATCACTGAGTTTTGAATTTGTTATATTTAATAAAATGATTTTTAATATAAAAATTGATTGCTTTTCATATACCGTATAACGTAATACACTTTGAGGCAAATAAGCAAAAGAAAAGAAAACAAACAATTTTATTATTTACATGATTTGCATTTACAATATATAATTGCTTATACAGTATTAGACCATGTGTTTAAGTATACATTTGTCCATCGGTTAACTTTATTGTTAAGTTATGATTATATGAATTTGGATTTTACTAAATGAATTGTTAGGGATACAGCATATCTTATATAACAAGTGGTTTTTGAGATAATTATAACAGTTATTGGTTGTATTGGCATAATATATAGCAAATGACTTAATTTGACAACAATTAGCGTTGAGGCGATAGACTGTATGAGTGGTCAAAGCGCAGACTGAATGCCATTGTGCACAATGGTGCAGACAATGCTGTCATGAGTACTGTATATATAGCTAACTTGACTGGTATTCTGGTGTCTCTCCCGCACTGTTAGCTCGACTGTTGCACTCGTTCGCACTCTTTAAGGTGAAGGTCGACCACAACGAGCAGAAGGGATGGCCGGTTATAGAGAGGGGCCAAACAAAGAACTTTTCGCGTTAATCGTTAATCTAAGCTAAACGTCACGAACAGAGCCCAGCACTGGTCCGCGCTTTGGTGTCATTACCATTCATATGGTTTGCCACTAAAACGGATGTTCAACAGCACCCACAGTCCACCACACCATCAATGAGACTAAAACAATACAATAGAATATTCAGTACAGTATCGTATCAAACAAAATACAAAACACATTCAATTTGATGGCATCTGTAGGCATATACTCAACATTTTAAATATATTTATATTTAAGACAATAATAGCACACACAGCGAGGCTCTGAGGCACGGATTCACTCTATCCGCTGCCCTCCCTGTCCTCCTGTCCCTCTAATTATTATATTTGATTTCAATTTTATTTTTTATTCATTTTTTGTTTTTATGTTTAATGAAATTGTTTGTCAATTATTGTCAAATTAAATCTGATATAAGAATTGTTTGCAATCATAGAATCACTAATTTTTAGTTTTTTTATTTATTATTTTTATTTTTGTGCAAAAACCATTTTAAAATTATGTGTCATTTAATTAACGCAAATATAGATTAGTTATATAATATATTCCCAACACTTTTGAGACATAAATTAATTTTATGTGAAATGCAATCAAAACTACAACATATTTACCGCCACTTCTGAAACATTGGCAACAAATATGTCTGAAAACTTTGTCATTATTTCTCAATTAATATATTTTTAGTTAAGTTTTTCACAAATTCTGGTCATTTTGATCATTAGGTTTAATGATTTAGTGATTCAATAGTAATATTGCTATTCTCATGAATGAACATAATTTTAGAATTCATAAAAACTTAAACCCGATATTATTTATGTGTTTATTATTCATATTTAACTTAAATGTTATCTTATGGTCAGATTTAATTTGATGAATGATTAGTTTGGATGCTAATCCAACTCATGTCCAAAAATAATTATAAATGTTATACAAACACAAAGTGATATACAATTGATTTGAAATGCATTGAAATGCATTCAATTCAACGAATAACACAAACACTAATGAAAACATTTGAATGGAAACAGTTTTGTGCGGTTTTGGTTTTGATGGCCTTTCAGTTGGATTTCAATCATGACTTATCACCCGATGGTCACAACCACTGAAAAATAGCTTTTAAGAACTGATCGTTTGTTAGCTTCCATTGGACTGCCAGTCCCTCAGCGAGCATGGCTTTGCGGGGCCGGCCCTAAGGTGTCCGCCACTGCGTGAGCCATCGGTTTGTTGTGGACCTACCAGTCCGTGCCATTCGACTCATTCGATATAAGCTAATCGAAAGCCAAAATCATATGAAAACATTTCTATTCATATATGTTATGAATAAATAAAACGTTACTTTTATTTCTAATATTTAGTAACAATTTATAAATACATTCGAAGTATTAATTAGTTGTAAAATAAGGTTTATTAGGAGTAATACATCATTAGAGCGCATGTATTATATGTTTCGCCACAGCT